AAAAATTCCAAAATCAAGCCTTCTCGGCTGTTTACAGATGGATTTTGTTCAAACTTGGTATATACATTAGACATTATGGGACCTTGATGCAAATAATTTGTTTTCAGATAACATTCAAAATGGCCGACTGGCGGCTATTTTGTTTTAATGAATGTGGTTCTCTGTATTGGTTTGACGATCCTTTTTAAAGTGGCCAAATGGTGGCTATTTTTGTGCTAAAAAAATCCTCAAATATCAAGCATTTCTTGCATTTATGGATGGATTTTGAACTTATAGCATACATTAGACATTACAGGTTCCTGATGCACATCATTTTATTTTTCAGATTGGATTAAAAATGGCTGACTGGCGGCCATTTTGTTTTAATGATTGGGCTTCTAGAGCCATATCTCTTAAATGCTTTGACTGATTATATTCAAATTTTATATATTCGTTATACATCATGTTATATATATATATATATATACATGTATTCCAAATGGCTGATTTTGAATGCTGTTCCAGAGCAATATCTCTCAATATGAACAAGTACTTTTTTGACGATCAGATACAAATTTCAATCATTTTAATGTTAAAAAAATCATATTCCTGACATGGTTATATTCCAGCTATATTACTATAAACAAAACTATATATCTTAAATTTGATAACTAACGGGGACTGTGCCATGCATGGCTTGTTTTTTTTGTATGTGCAAATTGCAAGTGCTAGTGCTGACACATAGTGCATTTTTGCCACAGAAGTCATATTCATATTTGTGACTACATGACAGGGCTTCCTATCAAATGGCAATTTAATGCACTATCCTAGCGTCAACAAGGCTTGGTTGAAAACACAAGCACTTGCGAACCTTAACCAAGGTTCCCCCAAAGTCGCATTTGTAAGTGAATTTTGTTGTTAATCAGGGCTTAAGTAACAAGTTAATTAATATTTTTTTTGACAGACATGTTATGAAAACTGGCAGAAGTGAATGGAAAGATGGTTACAATTTGATTGTTATTCAGACACAGGATCTCATCAAATCAATCTATGGCAGTCAGCTTAAAATAGAATCAGACCTGACATAGTCTATTCATAACAATATACACTGGTAGATAAACCTGTGAAAATTATTGTAAATATACATTGTACAGTCAAATTTGTGTTAACGACCACTTCTATAGAAACCTCAGCTGCCTATACCGATTCCTGTTAGACAGTCCCAATGCAAAATATACTGTAATCTTAAGTATAATTTCTCGATTAAATCATATAAGAATATTTACATTATTTTTAGCTCCGCTGTCGACTTTGTCGAGCGGAGCTTATCATATGAAAACTACAAGCCTGAATGCTTTGATACTTGGTGTATATGTACCTTGGGTAGACCTCTCTCAGATTTGTTCATTTCATGATGATATCTTCAATTCTCTAATTTTGGTGAATATTTTTGTCATTTTTAGTAAAAAGTGATATTTTCGACTTCTTGTTGAAAACCGCAAGTGCAATTGCTTTGATATTACATATATAGGTACTACATGTGGACCTCTCTCAGATTTGTTCATTTTGTAATGATATCTTTAATTCTCTAATTTTGGTGAATATTTTTGTCATTTTTGGTAAAAAGTGATATTTTCGACTTCTTGTTGAAAACCACAAGTCCAATTGCTTTGATATTACATATATAGGTACTACATGTCGACCTCTCTCAGATTTGTTCATTTTGTAATGATATCTTCAATTCTCTAATTTTGGTGAATATTTTTGTAATTTTTGGTAAAAAGTGATATTTTCGACTTCTTGTTGAAAACCGCAAGTCCAATTGCTTTGATATTACATATATAGGTACTACATGTGGACCTCTCTCAGATTTGTTCATTTTGTAATGATATCTTCTGTTCTTTAATTGCCATGTGCATTGCTAACAGCGGAGCTATCTCAGCCGACAGGCTGCTTGTTAAATTATTTTATCCATAGCTTTTGTTTTTATATAACAATCATGTGTACGTTATTATTAAAGTTATTAATTTCAGACAACATGGCCTTGTTATTTCTGTTCATGAAATTATGAAAATACTGAAAATATGAAAATACCCACAGGGGAAATCAAATTAAAAAACTTTATACTAAGTATGCTACTATACATCTCAAAGCTTAGATAGAAGAGAATAAGGTAGTTCATATGCCGTACTAATTATGCTTTTATGTTTTTTTAAACTTTCTTTCAATTATTGAAAACTATTTATAAATTATGCCCTCAATATACAAAACTATGGGACCACAGAAAATACTTTAAGTTACTAATAAAATGACCCCCCCCCCCCAGTTGACTTGTAAAGTTTGGTGTGTATTGTGGATATTTGGTTGTATTGTGAATTCGATTTTTATGGGTGATATATTTAATTTTGGTACATAGATCCCCCCTCCCCGGTACTCTTGGATAGTTCACTTGGTGCAATCCGTTATGCATAACTGTATTATCTTACTATTGCAGACAAGACAAGACAAGACAACTAGTGCAATATTGAAGGGGTTTGACAAAATATGACATAAAATGGCTGTATATGGTCATATTCCTCATTAATATGCATACCTGAGTAGTAGTAGTACTTGAGATAGGAGCATGTTATCAGTACCCTGATGAAAGCATTGGAAGAGAGATGTGGCTAACATATCATATTTGGTCATGTGATCTCATTAATATTCATACATTTAATATTTAAAGAACAGTTTGAGATAGACGCATACCACCAATATTGTAATGAAGGCATCAGATGACTAACATAACATATAGCCATATATGGTCATGTGACCTCATTAATATGCATAACTGTAATATCTCAAGTACTACTTTTCAAATTTTAACTCATTTCTTTGTAGATACTTAAAATCAAAAATTAAAAGAATACTGTGTTTTGAAACCAACATTTTATCAGAATTTGTTGCACTGGAACAATAATAATGACATTATGGATTTAGGCATGTCATTAGCATTTGCATGCCATATTTGGAAATTGATATGTCATTAGCATATACATGCCATATTTGGAAGCTGATATGTTATTAGCATATACATACCTAATTTGGAAAGTGACTATCATTATCATATACATACCTAATTTGGAAAGTGACTATCATTATCATATACATGCCATATTTGGAAACTGGTAGGTGAGTTGCATATAAATGCACCAGAACTATCTTTGATGATGTCATACTTGAAAAGTAGGTGTCATTTGCATATACATACCATATTTAGAATCTGATAGGTTAGTAGCATATAAATGCATTATAACTACCTTTGATGATGCCATATTTGGAAAGTGACTGTCATTAGCATATAAATACCATATTTGGAAAGTGATTGTCATTAGCATATAAATACCATATATGGAAACTGATAGGTTAGTAGCATATAAATGCACTAGAAGTATCTTTGATGATGCCATACTTGGAAAGTGACTGTCATTATCATATACATGCTATATTTGGAAAGTGACTGTCATTATCATATACATGCCATATTTGGAAACTGGTAGGTGAGTTGCATATAAATGCACCAGAACTATCTTTGATGATGTCATAGTTGAAAAGTAGCTGTCATTTGCATATACATACCATATTTAGAAACTGATAGGTTAGTAGCATATAAATGCATTATAACTACCTTTGATGATGCCATATTTGGAAAGTGACTGTCATTAGCATATACATACCATATTTGGAAAGTGACTGTTATTAACATATACATACCATATTTAGAAACTGATAGGTTAGTAGCATATAAATGCATTATAACTACCTTTGATGATGCCATATTTGGAAAGTGACTGTCATTATCAAATATATGCGCTATTTGGAAAGTGATTGTCATTAGCATATAAATACCATATTTGTAAACTGATAGGTTAGTAGCATATAAATGCATCATAACTACCTTTGATGATGCCATATTTGGAAAGTGATTGTCATTAGCATATAAATACCATATTTGGAAACTGATAGGTTAGTAGCATATAAATGCACTAGAAGTATCTTTGATGATGCCATACTTGGAAAGTGACTCTCATGAGCAGATACATGCCATATTTGGAGAGTGGCGGTTATTAACATATACATTCCATATTTGGAAAGTGACTGTCATTAACATATACATGCCATATTTGGAGAGTGACTGTCATTAACATATACATGTCATATTTAGAAAGTGACTGTTATTAGCATGTACATACCACATTTAGAAACCGCCGCATAACATTAGCATATAAATGCCATATTTGGAGAGTGACTGTTATTAACATATACATGCCATATTTGGAGAGTGACTGTCATTAACATATACATGTCATATTTAGAAAGTGACTGTTATTAGCATGTACATACCACATTTAGAAACCGCCGCATAACATTAGCATATAAATGCCATATTTGGAGAGTGACTGTTATTAACATATACATGCCATATTTGGAGAGTGACTGTCATTAACATATACATGTCATATTTAGAAAGTGACTGTTATTAGCATGTACATACCACATTTAGAAACCGCCGCATAACATTAGCATATAAATGCCTTATTTGGAAAGTGACCTGCGCATTAACATATACATACCATATTTAGAAAACCGACACATAAAGATAGTAGTGTATACACGCGCTATAAATATCAAACCATATTTTTAAAATGGCACATAAGCCTTGGTATACGCCATATTTGGAA